TGCATTTAAGCGAATTGTCTGTGGTCGGATATCTACTGTTTGTTTGGCGGCCGGTTTACTTTCCGCACACCTTCTGCAAGGCAATTCAAGAACCTTTTTATCGCCAAAAAAAAAACCTCCAAGACCATTTTATGTATGGTTTGACGCGACTTTCAGGGCCCGGCACGCTGTGGACACGAAAGCTGAACTGCTGTGGAACCACATCATCGCCGAGTTCAAGGACTTGGGAGAAGGTAATGATCGTAATCACCATTGTCGCTGGTATGAATAGCATGTCCTAGAAAAGACACCATTTACGGTCACGATCGGTTTTGGCGTTTATCGTGAGACCAAAAGCTTTGTCCTTCACTTTATGCGATAGCAACTGGATGTTATTCCAGCTGGTGCTGTTGTGGCTATGTATGTTAAATATTGACTGTGCGGGCATGACGTGATGTAATGTCAAATTCCACAGAGCCTCCCGAGCGGGAGGGTTCAAACGCCGCCGGAACATGGTCAACTACCGGGAGGAGGAGGACCTGGACGACGACGACTACATCTGTGAGTAACCAGCTACCGTCTCATAAGCAACAACACTCAACCTGTCAGTCTCCACATTCTGCTGTGTATTATACGGTCATATCGGCCGCAATACGTGGTCTTGTTTTCCGAGTCTTCAGTCTTTTTACAAGTAGAGATAATCTCTATTTCGTGTTGTTCCAGTCTGTGACGAGTGTGACCGCGAGTGGGAGGGCGACTGTCCTGTCCACGGTCCGCTGGAGGTCGTACCCGACACCAAGGTACGGAACTCGGGAGGGTGCCGCTCTATTGGTCCATTTTACATGTTATGGCATTTGTCAGCATGTAACCTTGAACTGGTAACCACGTTGATGCCAGATGTGTGTAAGCTATTGTTATTTGTTACAGCTCACGTTACCGTTGCTCGTTATATTCTCGCTTCTCACATTAAACAACTTTTCGATGGGCACTTATTCCCTTTGTCATGTTAGAATACCCGCTTAAACATTTCAGTAGGAAAGTCTTCCGTCATAATTATTTTTGAAACTGTCATTTGAGTAAAAACCAACGTTTAATTGGACGTTATTATCATCGCAACACGCGTGCACAGGTCCCGTTCGACACTGGCGATCCTGAGAGAGACATCAAGACCCGTCCCGAGTTCCTGAACCCGGGCCGGTCCAAAATCCCCGGAGCCAACACCGGTAAAATCCTCATTATTTTATTTTATCCGGCCTGCCGATTTAGATCCCCCGAGTTACTGCCTTACGATCCTTGAGGCCGTTTTGATACATATTGCTCTTTTGTAGCGTCAATAAATTGTTGTCGTTCAGTTTCCTCAGCTCTCCCAATTTCTCGGTAACCACATTGACTATCCTCCCTTTCCTGTAACCAGGGTTGGCAAGGGGTGGCAAAAACTGGTTTTTGCCAGTGGTTTTTACCGGTTTAAACCGGCTGGCAGAAACCCTGGTGGCAAAAACTGGCAAAAACTGGCAAAAACTCAGGTAGTCAAGGCTTGCAACTTTTCTGGTAAGCAATTGATTTGAAATGAACAAATGCATTTCGGGATGTTTAAGAGACGCGCTAAGTTTCTGAAGTTTGCCCCATTAGCTACCCGGGCTGCAATGTCTATGCATGTCGGTAGACATCCGTCAGACAGACAATGCATTTCCGAAGAATCTTGGCATTTCCATGCATCACGGTTAGGGTGCTACCTATTGCAGGTGCACACGTGCAGGGGTCGCTTTCGACCAGATCTCGAGAATGGCTCTGCCGATTGCGCTCAAATTTGGAACACCGTTACAGACGGATTAGTATGGGTGTCGCAGATAAGTCAGTCGGGATCAACTTTCTACGAGCGCACGTGTGGGACGACACTTCAAGTTCTCGAGAACGGCTGCGTCGATTGAGCTCAAATTTTGTACTGATACTGTTAGGAACCAGTGAGTATGGGTGCCGTCACGTGCACAAATGAATGGCAGGCACCCCTTCGCACTTCAGCATGTGCAGCAATCACTCTTGCACTGGCTCATTTGTCGCCCCAAAAAGACGTACTGGTTAGGTACTAATGGAAAGCGGGAAGCCCATGGAAATGTTTTAATTGTATGAAACACTGGTCGAATGGTCAATAGGTTACTTCTTTTTGAAAGCATACAACTTTCACTGAATCCCCCTTAGAATGTTTCCAATTCAAATGCATGTCTAGGGAAATCATTGTAATGGTTTTGAGTTTTTGCCAGTTTTTGCCACTTTTTGCCGGTTAAAACCGGTTTAAACCGGCAAATGGCATAAACTAGTTTTTGCCGGCAAAAATGCCAACCCTGCCTGTAACTTATTATACATTATGGCTTTCTGAGATGTATTTCACAATGCGACTGCTCACATTCCGCCCTCACCAGACTGAGCCGCAGCTGTGCTTAGTCTATGACAGTTCACCACCGTTACTCCTGAATTTCCCACGGTCCATACAGGCATTTGGACGGAGAAGGACCTGCCGGCGCGGCTGAGGTTCGGTCCCTACGAGGGTATCGTCACCGCCGACCGACGCCAGGCCACCGACTCGGGCTACAGCTGGGAGGTGAGAGAGTGGCGGGTCTGGGGCGGGTCTGCGTGGGATGTATTTTCGAATCTAAATATCAATCGCGCTTATCGGGAAACAACAAAAACGGAACCAGCCAGGGAAATCAGGGAAATTGAGAGAAAACCATTTTTGAACCATTTCAGATATTTGCATTAGTGTGGTACATGAAGAGAATAAAATGAATCAGTTACCCAAAGTCGTATTACTGGTTTGATGTTAGAAAAGCCGGTGTCTGATTGACATTGCTGTCATGGATGAGAAAGTACAGTCTTCAACATCTCTGTGATGCTGACACCCCCGATAACTAGTGACTCTTAACTTCTTGTGTTGTAATTAAACGCTAAACGGCCATTGAGTATTGACTGATGCACACTATCGGTTTTGCAGATCAAAAAGTGTCGCCGCGTGCACCACTACGTGAACGCCGGCGACTCGAGCTCCAGCAACTGGCTGCGGCTGGTCAACTGTGCCCGCTTCGAGCAGGAGCAGAACCTGATCGCCTTCCAGTACAAGGGCCAGATGTACTACAGGTAACGGTGAACGTGTCTAGCGCAGACCTTGCCCTATAGAAACTTGTTCACTGCTTCTCACGGCTGCCGTCATTCAGCTATACAGTTCGCGGCCTCATATGGTCATGGGGCGCTGGTACTTTGCAGTCAGAAACAACTGTTGAATTATTGGAACATTACTCGGTAATAATAACAGCAGCGGAGCTCTACTACTCTTTCCATTGTGGTCATTCGTGATAAGTCAATTTTTATTGCACTGTGACCCTTTTTGGCAGCAGTGATTGTATTCGGTACGTGTTAATTGTTATCGCGATCAGTGCGCACGAGATTCAAAATTCAGTGCTGACTCGTCGTTTTCTGACTCATAGTTGCACCTTTCGTCATGGCCACAGGACGTACAAGCCGATTGTGAAGGGCTCCGAGCTGCTGGTCTACTATGGAGACGCCTACGCCCGGGAGCTCAACATCAATGTGCAGACGTTCAGGAAGGCTCCGGCCGCCGCCCCGCCGCCAACAGCCTTCGTGTCAGGTGGGCGACCGAATATAGCATCTCCGATAGAATAGATATATTACAAAATGTTCAGTAGTAATTGGCCCATCAGTAAAACACATGAAAAATATCATTTTTTTCCGCGAGGCATGACTCATGGGCGGCTGACTGCCATCCCCAAAGGCAGACTGACTAGAGCGACATCTATATTACTGGCCGCCTCATCTAATAGATAAGTAGACAAGCGCAACTATGAGCTTCAACAAAATGCACATGATGTCACATGTTGATAGCACGCACATACATCCATGTATGCTGGTTTGTGGTAATCAGTATCATTCGCCAGGTGGCTCCACGGTCCGCTGCGTCCACTGCGACTACGCCTGTCTGGGACAGGAGCGGCTGGACAGGCATGTGAAGACATGGCACGGTCACATCGGCAGGAACGGACGGCACAAGTGTGAGCGGTGCGAGTACTCGACGAACGATGTGCATCATTTCAGTAACCATCGCCTCACCCACACGGGAGAGCGGCCACACCGCTGTGACGAGTGCGGCAGGACGTTTATTCAGCTCAGTGATCTGACCCGTCACCGCCGCATACACACCGGCCTGAGACCGTACGTGTGTGACGTCTGTGGGAAGGCGTTTAATTACTCCAATGTCCTAACGACCCACAGACGGATCCACACCGGGGAGAAGGTGCGTCAGTGTGAGCAGTGTGGCGCCGTGTTTAACAGACTGTCTCATTACACCAGACACATGCAGTCACACAACGGAGTGAAGCCGCACCGGTGCCAGGTGTGCTCGGCCCGGTTCGTCACACGACAGCACCTCACCACACACATGCGGACTCACACGAGGGAGCGGCCGTACGGGTGCTCCTTCTGCCCGGCACGGTTCACGCAGCAGTCGCACATGAGGAAACACGTCATCGCCCGGCACACACACGACTACCGACACAGGTGTGAGCGGTGTGGTAAGGGATTTGTGGCGCCCAGTAAACTGAGGAAACACAGCGAGAGGTGCACGGTGACCAGCTGATGTGTGTGCAGCTGTACTGGCGGGGTGGTTGTTACGAGCCTATTGTGATTTTATATTGCATGATATTGCCGGTGGATCAACTTATTGCAACAATGTGACTGTTGGCTGTGATCGTTGATTAGGGGCGTTGGTGCATGCTGCTTGATCAATTTTGGACTTAGTCGCACGCACACGACTCGATGACATTGCGCTACGTTATTAAATAACCTTGTGATTAGTTTTATTCTTTGTGTTACTGGACCCTATCGATAAATGGCTCGCTCATACTGCAATGGTATGCCTCATGGAGCGTTGTGTTGATGTTTTATAGTTTCATCTGTTCAATATATTTGGTGTTTGCCTATCTCGGCTGTTTCAAACATGCCGTTCACATACCATTGGCTGTGGTAAAACAGTCTATCCTATACAGTCTCTATACGGCTAGACAGCCGTGGTGCACAGTGCCGGTGCATTACCGTCCGGCCGTTCATGGTGACCTGTCTCGGTGCACCATGCCGGCGCCACACCGTCCGCGACACTGCAGTATGTGTGTGTGGTCATACCGCCAACACAGACGGGTTATATCACGGGAGACCCGGGGCCTGACGAACGGCAGCTGTGATTTACATTAGGGGGAAATGGAACAGTGCAGTAAGACTCTGTGGTGGTCGTGATTATACCAGAGCTCATAATATTGGAGTGAACAGAAAAAATCAACCATTGACTTCAGGACAATTGTTTCAGCTACATCACCGCAACGTTCTAAAGCCTTCAACGTTCTAAAGATTGATAATCAGTTGATAGAAGTCAACCGGTTGAACTTGGTTAGTCATAGGTAGTGGTCAGGTCTGGTTAGGGATGATTAGCTTTATCACCAAAATACTGCGTGGATGGGGCTGGAGGTATGATAAAGATAGTATATGGATCCGCAGGATATCTGTATCCATCTGTATCCTTGTTCAATGTTCATTGAGTGTTGATAGGGCCTAACGTACTAAAATGTTAACAAGCGCCAGGCCTTGACCATCCCCTAGATGTCTCCTGCTCAGCTTGCGATAGAGGCGTTTTTGGAATTTGAAGTGAGGATATGCCCCTGCAGCGTCCAATAGCGCCTGTTTGGATCCGCCAGTCTGTGTGCCACTGCGCGATTTAATCCTTATTCTGTTTTGTTTTTCCCCTGGGCCCCGGTCAGCGTCGGGACATACAGCTATGCTACATAGAGCTACATAGCAACGTCGAGACATAGCTCGGTCCCAGCAGTAAAGCTCTGAGGTAGTAAAGTAATCTTGGCTCGGTACCGCCCTGGTTTGGGCGGTAGCTGACGTCCAAGACGGCCGTTCGTCCCGCCGCTGCTCCTGTGGACTCCGTGGACGTCAACTGGCGAGACGCGGCGGGTTCACAGACACACCGGCATAGTAGTAGGAGGTGCTATGTGTTATTCGAGTAGTGAATTAAAACAATTTGTTGTTCAAGGGCGCTGTAGTTTCTTGGTTGGGAAAGCCAAAACAATCGGTAAATTTTTACTTAAAGGGACTATCCCACCTTCTAAAATGTTGTTAAAACCAGTTAAATTGTGCCCGACTTTATAGATTGGATGACCAGGAACACGGTTCTGGCATTTATTTTTCATTAAACATCTTAGGCTTCCCATATTCCAAACACAAACTTTCAAATATGTGACGTCACAGCCCAAAATTACCTCCTTCCCCAGGCCACATTACTGTCATAAAGCTGATTCTTTTTACTCTGTAGGCACCACAACAAAGTTCAGACCAACTTTAAAGCGATTTTTCAGCGAACAAACCCATTTAAATCAGAATGACTAAACGAGGTGACGTCACACTAACGGTCGCTCCATGTTGAAGATAGGGCCTTGTACAAGGCCCATTTTCAAATGAAGGGAACGAATTTCTTCAACACCAAGAGGCCGCGGGGGTTGCAACCTAGATAGATAGTGGTTTCTGAACCTCGCCGCAAACTTGGCTATCTCAACTCAAACCCGATGTTAAAGGTGGGATAGTCCCTTTAACTGTTACTTAACTGTTGTCAGTTGGCTCACCCGGCTGCCACCAGGTGGTGGGGATAGCCCTCACCCCTAGACCATCCTCACCAACATAAATACCCTCTGAAGCCTCATCAGTGGCACCCACCCAGCCGTACTTGGAGCCCAGGGTACACTGGTGTTCGGCCTCGGACCGAGCGGTCGCCAGGTGAGCGCCCATCTGCTGGCACCCGGACCGCGCCGAGGAGAAACTAGCGGACGTCGTTCGCCAGGAGATACAGCGGCCGGCACAGAGGAGCCAGCCGTCCGGACAGGCGCAGGGGTCGGTGAGTGTGCCTGGAAACGGGAGCGGGACGTGAGCAGAGGTCAGAGTGGAGCCTGTGACGATATACATAGGAGCACAGCTAGGAACAGACGTGAACAAGGTTCGAATGCGGTCACTTTAGTGAGCTGGGTTTTAACATTCCCAACAAATAGATACCTGTGCCTATGCCTACATATATGATGTGTGACAAAATGATACCTGGATTTGTATGTGTGCAATGGAGTGCCCATCCGTTTACCACATACAGATTACGGGTCCCTCCACAGATACCTACTTCCCTAGAAATGGTGACTTACCATGGTGACTTACCATGGACAGTCAGCTACGGTACCTCGGTGCCTCGTTGGTCAGATCATGAACTAAACCACCTGCTGCACGGTCGGTCCAAACAACCTCGCGGGTACGCATGAATACGCCCAGAAAATTCAGCATGACACAATCACCCATGCCAACTAGCTCTGCTCGGCACGCCGTATGCTACGTACTGCTACGTACATATATTCACGGGGACATGAGTTCGGTACTCTGTTGGTGCATGAAACAGACTTTTCCACAAGTCAGGAAATGTGATTTGCCGGCTGTTGAATGACTGCTTCAGCCTTAAATTGAATAGATGGCTTGGCGAACGGGCAATGTGTGATATGAACGATTGGCATTACAGTTTAAGCTAGGGCAATAACTAAAACGCTGAATAAGAAGTCGTTGTATTGCCACGAACGGAAAAACTACGCTTTTCCAATCAAAGTTCCTGATAACCTTTATTTCAAGTGTACCTCTGTCACCCTCTGAAGATTTGGCCCGTACACAACAGCACACCTGACTAAATAAGGTTGTACATTCCAAAAGTAAAGAGACGCCGTTGTCCAATGTTCTGAATCGTTGTATTAACATCATCAACATACAAATATAGGTACACATCATGAACAATCGGCGTCATTAGTACAATACACAGGACATACCTTGTATTCAACCCACAGTTCAACTATGTATCATTGTGAAACTTTTATTTTCATCTTGGCGACCGCAAACCAAGCTGTTTATGGACGACCGTGTACGACATGATCGAGTTTGGTACGATATATCGGTCACATTGTTGAAAACAGGCCATCGATATCAAGCGGTAACACACATTTTTGTATTGTTTGTCGCCGCCAATCACACACCGTCAAAAACACGGATATGAACACTGGGAGCCTTCGGGAAACAAAAACACACACCAGCAAACACGCACACAAACAACACGAACCAGCATCAGGCGCTGGCGTCGATCGCACAGTGTGACACAAGGTCAGGTCATATCAGGTCAGGTCACATCAGGTCACATCAGTTCCCCATACATCACGTCACCATTACCATCAGGTCATCACCGCATCTCATATCAGCTTCATCTATTTTCTGTCATACAAGAGCAGCTTGTCACAATGGATCCGGTCAACCTTGGTGATACAGCGCAGCAGTGAGCTAACGTGGAGCTATGAGCCATCGGTAAACATTGGCGGAGCTATGGACCAGTAGTGAGCTAATGAAGAGCACCGAGCCAGTGGTGAGCTATTAGCTATTTCCCGAACAGCTATAACAGCTATAAATGTGTCTTTTGTCTTGGCTTTACTTAATGGGTTGCCGCTACTCAAGAGCTAACAAGGGCTGTTAGGTAATTTATTAAAACAAGTGTACGGATGAGCGCATTTTCCTCAGTATTGTTTCCAAACTGTTTTGGACAAGGTGCCATACTATATCCTGGGCTGCATGCTGACCAAATTCAGATTCATATACAATCATAAACATCATTTGAGTATGATGCAGTGATATAGGTACCTTGGTGCCATAATTTTGCAAGAAAGCTAGACGACGAGCATATGTCATGTTTCAAGCTCTACATATTTCTACTGATGCAATATTCATGCTTCTTGCCCTCAGGTGCTGCTCGACAACCACACCTATATTGAAAAGGCCCAGCTCAAGGCCATCAATCTCAACCGACCTATGGAAGAGCAGCATCTGGCGGTGTGTGCTCTGACCACAAGGCTTGTGGGCAAGAGGTGCTGGCGACCCACACCATCACCGGCCGTTGCACTAGCCGTGGAGGGTGTGAGAGGGGCTTCGTTGGAGCCCAGTGCTGTGTGGCAACTAGAAATTGTGGTGCGGTGGGGGGTCGCCTGTAATGTGTTTAACATATGCAGCGGAAAGGCTGCCCATGACCTCAACTGTTTCTTGCGAGAAAAGGTGTCTCACCTTCAGCTGGACAGTACCGTAAATGACAAGGTTGTCAAAACGATTGCTGACCTGGAGGTGCGGATCTAGGCCTGGGTAAAGGTGGGCAACGGCAAGGACCAAAGAGCAGATGCGACGGTACCCTTTGGTCGATTCGTGAAGCGGTTTCTGTTTTTTTTTTCAATAGGTAAACAGTTGGTGACGACTCTGTTTTTACGGACTTTGAGACAAATGAAGATAGTTATTTGTGAAGAGGAAAATAGTAGTTGGCTGTTCATTGTCTAAGCAGCAGCCTAGGCTGTCCAACCAACAACCTAGGCTGTCCAACCAACAACCTAGGCTGTCCAACCAATAACCTAGGCTGTCCAACCAACAACCCAGGCTGTTCAACCAATAACCTAGGCTGTCCAACCAACTACATAGGCTGCCCAACCAACAGCCTAGGCTGTCCAACCAACAACCTAAGCTGAAGCAACAACCTAGGCTAACCAACCAACAACCTAGGCTGCTCAACTGACAACCTGGGCTGTCGGAACAACAACAAGGGCTGTTCAATCCAAAACCAATGTTTTTTTCCTCTCTCTCTCTCTCTCTCTCTCTCTCTCTCTCTCTCTCTCTCTCTCTCTCTCTCTCTCTCTCTCTCTCTCTCCCTCTCTCTATCGAGGTTGATGCAAGTCCGCGAAAAGTGCATCCCAGCTGGAAACAAGTATCTACTGGCTTCGCCAAGCAACAAGAGTGGCCACTACGACGGAGGCGTGGTCCTCAAGGCTGTCGTATACTGGCTTCGCCAAACAACAAGAGTGGCCACTACGACGGAGGCGTGGTC